ATATATATATATATATATATATATATATATATATATATATATATATATATATATATATATATATTCAAGGAACATTGTACGTAGGGATCACACTAAAATAATATTGATGAATATTTTCAAATGGAATGAAGATATCATGTCTATCATTGAATATTTTTTTTTTTCAGTTTCAGCTTAAATTAAGCATTTTTTTAAATTTCAGCTAAAATAATCATTTTCCTAAATAAAATAAGTTTATGGTTAAGTAACAAAATAAGATTTATGGTTTATGACCCAAAATACAATATATGGTTTTGATTTTTTTTCCCAATGTGTACATGTGACTCATTACCAAATACACTAGTGCACACATGAAATATTGTACACGTGGATAAATAAATTATGTGTACATAGTGTGATATACATATGACATTTATACGAATATTATTAGAAATAACATACACAAGAAATGATTTTATGATAGTTATCATCAAATTTACCTCATTTTAATCATTTTTAAGATGCATTTATATATGAACTTTTGGAAGTATGGACCAAATAAAAAGAATTTATTTGAATATCATGAATATATTTGGTAGAAATAAAACGGTAGGGAACAAATATTGTAAAATTGAAATATTTGTTTGGTCTGGATTGCATAATTAAAAGTTCCAGGTCAAATTCGTGGATGAATTTGAGAAAAAAATAGAAACTTGGGACAAATTGGAAAAGGAACAAGAGCCGGAGGATCATATGTGAAAATAATCTAAAGTTCACCATTGTTGTTCCAGAAAAGATTTATTTTTCATCTGTGACTAAATCCGGTGGTGCTCTCTTCGATCCGTGACTACGGTGAGAAGGAGACGACTAGACTTTAACACAGATCGCTATAGAGATCTGACAGAATTGAGTTGCGTTTTGAGGTCGTCAACTTTCCTTCATGTCAGTCATGGCTAACGAGGACCTGGTGCGGATCGAAACCATTCTCATCACTACTGTTTTTATTAAATAGTCACAGCATTGTCTCTACGGTTACACAAAAAAAAAGGAAAAAGATGAAATAATGAGTGGGTCCATTTAGTTATATCAAAATTATATTTTAGTTAGAAAAGCAGAGAATAAATTAGAAGAAAATTAGAAAGTTAGGAAAAAGTGTCTAAAGAGTGATAACTGCTCTAGAGTGTAATAGAAAACTTAAAACTGCCTTACAGTGAAAATTACTCTTTTGAACCATGGTGGAGAGGGGACAAGCTTTTAACAGAAACCAACTATGCTACAGAAAATTTGATAATTTCTATGAAAATAGTTTTATTTTTAGACTTTTGTGGGGGCAGTTGCCTCCTCCTTCCATAAGGTAGGTTCGCCACTGATCTATATTATAGAAGGAAAAAGAGAGACAAGGTTTTCGTTTCAATGTGTAATAGATGCTATATTTGGAGAAAAAAATAGATTTTCACTATTTATAAAGGCAAACTAGAATTTGATCCGCGCTTTAAAAGCGTAGATATTTTATTTATTGACTATTTTAATAAAATTTTCATAAAGTTTCTATTCTTTTTTATTAAAAACAAATATTTTTAAGTTATAATATTATAAGGTTTGAGTTTTAAACAGTTTTTTTCTTCCAATCTAAACTCGTGGTTGAACCGATAGACCGTCGACATGTATATAACCCGTATATAGCATATATTGACATATATTATTCTCATGAAATACATATATAAAGAAAATAATTCATTTTCATTAAATAAATCAAGAAATATATATAAAAAAATCCTACAAAATTTATCCCTTATGCGAAAATGATGTAAAATTCAAAAATATATTATTTTGTGTTTTATATATAGAACTATATATAGTATACCAATTTTAGATAAATATAAAGAAAATAGAAGATAAATTGCAAATGATTGTATGATAGTAATTATTTATTTTCTAAAATCTTAAACAAAAATGTAAAATAGTATTTGATAGTATATTTGTTTTTTAAGTTATAAATAAAATATTTTTTAAAATATAATGTTTTCCTTTTAAAAAGCATAAGATAAAGATAATTTTTAGAAATGATTTAAGAGTAATTTAAAACATAAAGATTTGGAAAAATGATTGTCAGCTACCTGAAATATTGACCACTACATGACTGAACATTCAAAGTAAAGAAATGGACACTTAACTAAATGAGGTATATGATATGCATACTAACATCCATAAACTTTATGTTGTTATGTAGGCAACATCACAAGACCAATTATTCTAATTATATCACAAAGGTAATTACATTAATAAAAAATAGAAATATAAAAAAATGTTTTAAGATATGGAAACTCTTTTTTATTTGATTTTTTATTATTAAGAATATTTTTATTTTAAAAAAGTTTTATACAATAATATTTAAGTTAATGTTGTTTTAGAAAAAAATAACTTTATTTAAATTTTCATATTTTTAATATTTATTTTAGTTTAGCATTTTTTTATACATGACTTAAATAATTCTTTATATTTATAATGTAAGGATAGAAAAGTATTTGTTTTTTTTAATGAAACTACATAATTAAGTATATTTGAAAACGTTTTTATATCTCTTTATTAATGTATTTATAAACATTTTCAATGAACTAAAATGTTTTTAATATTTTTAATATTTTTAATATTTTAATACAAAAGATTTTTGCAATAAAATACTTAAATTTGTTTACTGAAAATGTTTATAAAGATATTTTAAAGATATAAAATATTCTGAAAAATATTTTTTTAATGACTTAACTATTTACATAATTATTTATATTTATATATGTTTATAAAATTAGTAAAAAAAGTCTTTTTCCATTTAGTGAAACATGTATTTGTAAAAATATATTCTTAATTAAGGAAAAATGAATTGTGCTACAACAAATAGGGTAAAAATAGAATTTCAATTAACAAATCATATAGAAAAATAAAGGAAAAATTATTAAAAATTAAAATTAAAATTAAAATAAAGTTTAAAAAAATTTCTGAAATAAAATTAATTAACTAAAAAAAATCAAAATAGGACTTTGTCGTGATTGGTCTTTATATTGGTATTTGTATGTGTTTGGTCATACAAAAACAAACACATGTTTGATATATTTTTGTGTTTAGTCATAAAAATAGATTATTATTATTAATATTATCATCAAGGTAAATGATTTTTATGTGTTTAGTCAAAAATAAATCATGTTTCATCGTAATCTTATTACATCTGTGTTTTAATATATAGTATTTCTAATCTATTTTATTAAACTGTTGTTATGAAAATATATCATTAAAATGAATGTAGGAAATTGTTTAATAACATACAAATTTAGTAAAATGGTCTAATTGTTAGTAGAAAATAAGAAACAAGTACACATAGGAAAAAAATCACAAATTCAAAAACTAGAAAAAAAACTAAAGAAATTGTTTGAAATACTATAACTTGAATACCATTTTAAATACTACACTAAAAATAACTCACAACATCTGAATTTAGGATTTAGAGTGTAGAGTTTAATATTTAAGGGATGAAACTAATTTTGTAAAATTATATAAAAATCTCGAATGATATATATGATATTAAGTATCATATACTTAAAATGAAATTAGAAGAATTTCTTAATTACTTCTAAGATCGTCTTCTTCAATCTTATTACAATATATAATAAAATAATTATGTATTTATTTATTTAAGATTTATCATCACATATTAAGAAGTGACAATTGTATGATATTGTCATTGACTTGATCTTATTTAACTTTCATTTTTTTTTATTTCACTCTAATTTTTAATTCGAACTGGATTTGATTTAAAGTTTTAGGTATGAGTATTTTCTTTGGTATTAGGTAAAAGGTTAAAAACAATTCACTTATGTGACATGATTATTAAAATACAAATATTTACCAATATTTATGTGGGTAAACAAATTCTAAAATAAATCTCACAGAACATATACAAAAATAATTGTAAAATATAAAATAATTTTTTTATTTTATGTCCTTTGTAAAACTAAAACAACAAACAACATATGTGCTTATTAAAATATAAATACTAATCGAAACTTTTATGGAAAAACGAATTCATAATTTCTAAAATAAATCTCACACAACATATAAAAAATCATAAAAACTATAAAATGAATTATTATTTTTATATTTTATAAATATTAAAACATCAAATAAAATCTGTGCAAGACTTAGAGTAAAAACTTTATTTTATTTTTATCTTTTTATAATAGATATCTCTCTATCATAGAGGTACTCTAATCGGGTTTGACCAACCAGCCAGGCTTTTTTAGACTTGGGGAGGTAAGGGGTACTTTGGTATTTTCATCTGAACAAGTGAAAAGCCTCCGTCACCAAAGCTTGAAGAATGCATATTTACTGTGCCATTGGTTTATACTTTATACTACTGTCATCACATACATATTGATCTCATCTCCCTCTCCACTCCAATCCTCCACAATCCCTAATCTGCAAAACAGATTCTTCTTCCCATGAAGAGAAAAAAGTTTCCGGAGAGAGAGATCCACGAAAACCAGAGCAGGAAGACTAAAAGCTTCTCCAAGTCCCTCTCTCCAGGACAACATTGGAAATCTAAATCAATGGTAAATCCACTCTCCCTCTCTTTTCTATTTTATCAAATGGAACTGCTTGCTGTTTCTGATTTTGTGGGTTTCTTAAAATGAAAAGAGGATTATTCCTGAAGAGATATTGAGAAGCACACCTGAGGGTTTTGAGCATAGAGTGGTGTTCACTGTTCCTTGGAACAATTCTTGGCAACTCTGGCTCCAGCGAGACAAGAACTCTCTGTTTATGAGCAAAGAAGATTGGGAGGAGTTCGTTGATGATAACCTCTTATGTTCAGATCATACATTGGTCTTTACACACCAAGACACCATGTATTTCCAAGTGCAGATCTTCAAGAAAGATGGTAAAGAGATCATCTCCCCACCTCGTGGGGTTGAACCTGAACCTGAAACAGTTCTTCCTAAGCCTCAGGAGACCTTTGGTAAGACCATTCAGATTGAAAGAAATCAGCTTTATGCTATTCAAAGAAACTATTGTTTTCTCTCTATATGGCCAAAGATTGACTCTTTCTTTTTGTTTTTTGTAACGGTGACTGAATTTTCAGCTAGTGGAAGAGGGAGACAGAGTTTTACTCATGTTGAAAACCCTGAGAGATACCTCTTTAACCCCCAAAACCCTTACTTTGAGAAGACGCTAACCAAAATTAACACTTGCCTGGTAAAAAAGTTGTAGCATTTTCAGTTTTCTTTACAGCGTTTTAGGCTTTTAAAATTCTGTTTATTTGTTTCATATTAAAGCTAAGTCTTGTCTTCTTTTGAATATCCTGTACGAGTAGTATGTGAGTTCTGTGGTGATTAAGAAATATGACTTGGAGTTTGGTCCCCATAGTTCCCCTATGTACTTTCTTCTTCCTGATGGAAACAAGCTGGAGGGCTTCACTAAGAATTACGGTGGTGTACATTCTTTCCTTGGCTGGGCAGCTGTATGTCAAAAGTACAACCTCAAACAAGGAGACACTGTGGTTTGTGAATTTGAACTCACAGGACGTGTGGTTACTGCTGTTAGAGTGCATTTCGGCACTGCCTCTGACTCTGGTAAGACCATTTAGACTCTGAAAGAAATCATCTTCATGATCTTCTAACTCAAAACTAAGATTGACCCTTTCTATGTGTTTTTTTTATTGGTGAACGTATTTTAAGCAAGTGGAAGAAAAACTAGTGGAGGGAGACAGAGTTTTGCTCATCAGGACAACCCTGAGCGATACCTCTTAAATCCCCGAAACCCCTACTTTGAGAAGACGCTGACAAAAACTAACGATGTCCTGGTAATAGTTAATAGCATTTTCAGTTTCTTTGCAGCTTTCTAGGTTGATCTAGTCATAAACATTTCTGTTTATTTGTTGTTGCATTTAAAGCTGAGACTTGTCCTTTTTTTTCTGTTAGTATGTGAGTCCTGTGGTGATTGAGAAGTATAGCTTGGAGTTTGGTCCACAGAGCTCCTCCATGGACTTCCTTCTCCCTGATGGAAGCAAACTCGGGGGCTTTACTAAGAGTTACTGTGGTGTACATGCTTTCCTTGGCTGGGCAGCTGTATGTCAAAAGTACAACCTCAAAGAAGGAGACACTGTTGTTTGTGAATTAGAACTCTCAGGACGTGTGGTTACTGCCGTTAGAGTGCATTTGGTGAATGAATGAGTCAGGTTTCTGAACATAGTTTTTAACAACTTATTATTCTTAATTCTAGATGTGACCTCCTGTATGTTGATTTAACGAATTTGTAGCAGCAATAAACGTGATCTTTATGTTGGTTTCACAAACTTGCAGTGCAGTTTCTTATTCTTGCATAGATGTAGCAGTACAAGCTTTGACAAATACTCTGGAATGAATCTGAAAGTTAATCTTGTACAACCCAACAACTCCAAGAAAGGCTGTGATGTGATAAAAGATCTTTTCAATCAAGATACACAGTAACTGTGAAAAAGATCAATAAACGAATGTAAAACTAACAAAACTTTAACCATCTTTGGTGAAGGGAGCCATCAACTCAAACAGGTCTGATCAGTAATAGATTAGATTGGTGTTGAGAGTGTTTTCCATACAGACGGTAAGATTTTGTTTATTATTGTGATAAGAAACACGCGCCTCACGTGCGCGTATGGGGAAGACTCAATAAGCAAAAGACTCAACGCGCGCATTAAATATCAACCATCCATCTCTCTCTCTGATCTCTTCTTCGTGTTTCATTTCTGTACGTGTAAGCACTGCTTCTGGGTTAGACGCAGAGACATGGCTTCTCTACCGTACGGAGTTTCTAATCTATGCAGAAGCCAAGATGTTCTGTCGGTAGCTGTACAAATTCGTCCGACTGGTCGACAAATCACAGGTTTTCTTTTCACAAACTCAAATCGTTTTCGAAAAATATACTCTAAGATTTAGCAGAAGCGATGGTATAACTCTCCTATGCTTGTTGAGATGATGCAGGAAGAACCAGAGCTGCCAAGAAAATGTTGTATAATGGATTGTCATCATCATCAGTAGAGAAGAGAGTCAGGACACAAAGAAAGAGATGTAGAGTGCGCTCAGAATCATCTACTGAAACTGAAGAAGATTCTGCTACAAAAACCAAGGTCTCATCATCTTCATCTCTTGAATTATACCGTAGCTTCATAGTGTCATGTCCTAAAGCAAACTCTTGTTGTGTTGTAATGAAATTGGTTACAGAAGACGCCGTTTGGATACACAAGGAAGGATGTTCTCTTGATAGGAGTGGGAGTGACTGCACTTGGTATCGGGCTAGAGAGTGGCCTTGAGGTAATCTATTAATCAAGAAGCGGATCATGACTGTTCTTTTCTTTGTTTCTGTGTGTGTGGCTCTGATTACGTTTTGTTATCATGAAATGAGGGCAGTATGTGGGAGTAGATCCTTTGCAAGCAGGTAATGCTGTGCAGCTGATACTGGTTCTGGGTTTGACACTTGGTTGGATATCGACTTATATCTTTAGAGTCGGTAACAAGGAGATGACTTATGCTCAGCAACTTCGTGACTACGAGTCTCAAGTCATGCAGGTTTTGTGATTTTCTCTCTTTAAAGGACTTCAGCTTTCAGACCTTATGTGATTTACCTTAACATATGGTTGGTCTTGTAATGGACGCAGAAACGGTTGGAGAGCTTATCTGAGGCTGAGTTAGAGGCATTGATGGAACAAGTCGATGAAGAGAAGAGACAGGCTTAGTAGGATCAGACTCCCTCCTCTACGGTTCCGTTCACCTGCAAAACTAGTTAAAAAATCACAGGACAGGTTTTCTTAAGTAATTCTCGTCAGAAAACATTTTGATGTGCTCTCTTGTTACTCAATATTGGTTGTATGATACACAAAAGAATACAAATCAAAGAATAGGTTGAAGGAATCTGTCAATCAGACTCACTCAGAGCACGCCACAATACCTTAAGGGCTTTATACAAAATGAATCAAAACACATGGAACAAATTGAATCAAATGAATATGAAGTTATGAAACATTATGTAAGTATGCACGAGGAGAATTTGTTCCCTCTTTCTAAAAAAGGAACTTTTACGACTTCATATCTGACCCAAATGCCTTACGAGCAACGGGAATTCTGGTGAATCCGGGTGAAGTCCTTTGACTAGAGACACAAATTTTAGTACACACTCGATGCTGAATAATTTGAGCTTCCATGTTGCCGAAGTCGCTGTTCTGTTTGGTCTGGCTTTAAATGTGGAATTCTTCTGCTTGATCTTCAGTGACAAGCATGGCCTACCTCGAGATTCAATAGCCTGGATAATACTCAAGTTTTTGTATATCAAAAAGAAAAGAAGAGGGAAAATGGCAGTGAAGGCAAAAGGCAAGAATAAACAAACTTGTTACCATCTCAAAAATGTCGGAGATGGAACAGCTCGAGTCAAGCGAGAAATATGAAGAAGCAGCATCCGTTGGCAGAGAACTCAGCCGCCTGAAGTCTTCAATGCATATGAAAAGATGTCCATCGACCACAAATAGCGACCGTGGAAGCCATGACACATCTACACAGTTCAAAAGAGGACAATTGATTAACACTAGTAAATGGTCAGTCAATGTTGACTCAGGTAAGAAAAGGACCAACATTAAGGCTGCAGCTGCAACTTATTGTAATTGTGAGCTTACACACCAGATATAAAATCATGAGCTGTTGGATCTAGTCTATCAATTATGTAGGCAAATTCATTGGTATGTCAAACTATCAGGTATTGCTTCATTTACGGTTCCAGGGGAAAAGAGTTAAGCATTCTTGGTGAACCATTTCTCAATCAATGATATGCGGGAAAGAATATACCTTCAAGAGTGCTGCTCTGAAACTGGAGAACACTATACTGGAATATACTCAGCTTCAAACCACCACATATTTCTTTCTCAAACATTTCTATTTGAATATTCTCCAAACTGTCATTTAAGTTTCAATACATGTCAAATCAGAAAACGGCAGAAGCAAATGGTAAAATAGCTGAAGAGAAAAATGATGATATAGCTCACCTTCCCAAGGAACATTTAGATTCAGTATCTTGAGAATCCAAGACTTTAGTGATATTGAGTAAAACTGTTGTTTTTTCGATGCTCCCTGTTTTGAAAATGTACTCTGTGCCATCCTTAAAGAGTAGCCTAAACCAGAAAGTAAGAGAGAGGTTAGGGACCCAAAAAATCAAGTTTAAAAGCGGAACCATAAAAGACTAACCTCACAACTTGAAGTCCTAGACCAACTGAGACATCTTCTATATCATTGATAGCATGCGAACACAATAAACTTAAATTTCTGTCTGCATACATCAGGGGTCAAGAAAAAGTGAGCCAGCATCAACAAAAGTTACAGAACACATCATATTAAGACATAAAGAGTAAAAGAGGAAACGAAGAAGATCAGTCTAACCTTGTGAATCAGTAGAAACATCCACCAGTAGCACACAGAATTTCTCTTGGCTACTCCGGAGCAAGACTACTTCCCTGCATTTATAGAGTACAGTAAGGTGCAGAAGTTATCTAACTAACAAGGGACCAAAAACATATCGCTCTAATTTCATCGACAAATTTCTATTTTCAAACTGAATACTGGAGGAGAACATATCGTTACAAGAGAAACAAATAACTACGCAACCTCAGAGACCTTTTTTTACTGCTCGGCATGCCCTATTGAATATCATAATTCATGTCTTTAACTAAAATAAAAGGGACGAACACTACTTTCATTCACCTAAAACTACAATAATAAGGGAACAATACTCACCGTTGCGTGTGGGTGGATTCTTTCCGTAGTATGCAATCACCACTTACGTAAATCCTACAAGTCTCATCAATGCTGGAATCTGACAGTGTTGTTGTAAAATACTCGTCCACTAAACCACCTATTACTTCATGGGCTTTTTCAGCTTCCAAAAATCTAGTAGCTCTATTACCATTACAGCCCATGGTCAATGAACCTTCTTGCAAATGATCAGAAACACACCCCTCATCACCAGAATCACTGATATCAGCATCACTTCTATGAGATGTTTCTCCGCTACTTATGACAGTTTTATCCACAAATAGGGAAACAACCCTTTTCTTAGGCTTCCTCTTGCCTTTCCTTTTGTCAAACCAATGGTAAATATGGTTAACACCGGAAGCAAGCTCACTATTATGTAGTCCGGAAATAATATTATTGGTCTTTGCTTTGAACGATTCATCTATCCTCCAAGTCTTTATTATGCTACTTTTTTCTGGTTGAGAATCAAGCAAGCTTGTGCCTTTTTCAGGTCCCAGAATCTCCTCGCCAGGGCTATTCTCATTAAGATGATCCACCAACATATCTTGTTCAGGATTTGATTGCTCAGAATCATAATTTTCATTTTCACTGCAGCTGCTCGTGCTATCAGACGATGCTACTGAATAAGAATCTGCTGATAGCTGCAAGATTTCTTCAACAAGGTTATGACGTCGGTGTAAGACATCCTTTTGATAGTGAGGGGGTGACTGCATATATGTTGAGTGAGTAGCATCCAAAGTTGACATGTTTACATTTTCATCTGGCTTCCCATCACGAAGATATGCTTGATCCTTCTGATTTAGATCTGTAATTTGGAAACCTGGTAAAGGCCCTGGTGGATATCTCAATGCTTCATTGTGATGCTTTGGTTTTTTTCTATTCTTTGTGTAGTACTTTTCCTCTGAATCAATACTCCAGCCGTCTTTTCTGGCATCCACAAAATTCTCTGACGGATTATCCATCCACTCCTTAAACTCTCGCAGCCAGAGAACCGAACGTTCTTTCTTCAACTTTTCAACTTTACTTATTAGACCAAAGATATCATCTTCGTGATCGGACTTGATATTCTCCTCTTTGCTTTGAGTCTCGAGTTCACATGAAGCAGATTCCTGATCAGAAGTCACATAAGTGCTCTCTTCCTCAGTATCAATAGACGCCAGCCGGTAGATTTTCGCCTGTGAAAGGGCAAAAAGGACAACATTAAGCTTTTAATAATTACACAAGAAAACAAATCAAGAAACTGAAACTTTGAAAGAGTGACATAGAGAAGCTGTCTATCAAGGGATGTATATCTTCATGACGCTTTTCAAAATACGATACATACTACAGTAACTACACAGCGTAATGGGTTTGGATATATTCTTATGTTTTCCATGCTTAGGGTTTAGTGTCAGCGCGTCACTCGGAAGAAAAGGACTATTACAGTCACAAGCACATAATATATATATATATATATATGTAAATATGTAGATAAAACTATAATTGAGCTCTCTGTCGATAACCTTTTTTCTATTGAAGCTTCCTTCGTCATCAGCTTCCTCTCTAGCCGGAGAGTAGAACCCATAGCTAGCAGGCTGACTTTTCCTACGAGTAACAACAACCTGCCTCTTCCAAAATTCTCTATTCCCAATTTGTTTGCCATCTAGCTTTAACTGAAACGCCGCACATATAGGAAGAATCAGTTTGAAGCAAAACTGAAATGGTGCAAAATTCTGGAGTCTCTAATATAAAACTTACATCATTTGGACGAGCAACGTAGCTGAGGACATTCGCCCTGTACCATCGAGCACAGCAAAGCGGATTTCCTTCCAACCACAGGTCGGTTAAGAATGAAAGACTTCCAAGGAATTCCAATTCTGAAAAGTCAGAAATAATATTGAAGGAAACATCAAGGCCTTCAAGTGACTTCAAACTCTCAATCCCACGCAATGTAGTTAGAGCGTTGTTCCTCAAAACAAGTTTAACAAGGTGACAAGATACCTGCATAGTCAAAGATAAAGGTTTATGGGTCCCTAAGGAAACTAAAACCTAGATATAACCTTTAGCACACACATTCAAAGTGTTCTTATATCTATGTGAGTTCAAACTAAGCCATAGATAGTAACTTCATATCAAAGGACATGGAGAAACCTGAAGTATAACCCACCTCACTCAAGTGAGAGATTTTTCTAAGTTGATTGAAACCCAGATCAAGGTGTTTCAACTTGGAACACCTCCGAAGATTATCCACCTTTGCAAACTTATTCCGACTCAGATCAAGCGACTCAACAGCTGGGAGAAGTTGCAGCGACTCATCCATGAGCAAGAGACGGTTACAAGCGCACGAAACGAAAGTCAGCTTATTCCACAATGGTGAATCCTTTATCTCCGCAATTCTACTGGCAAACACATGCCGCAATGCATCCTACATTTGGTGAAAACCTGATAAAGATTAGTCAGGGACACCTCCAAAACAATTCAAAACACATGAATACACACTCATACATCAACCTTCTTCTTGAAACGTCCTGAAAGATATGACACAAACCTCCCAGCTTTCATTGCTAATTCCAAATACACTAATAGTTCAATTTCCCTACAATCTAAAGCAACACAGAAACTAATTCCACTCAATGCCATAGCAGAATGCACTAAACCAAGGAAACAAACGAGAAAGAAAAGAAGAGAGCTCACAGTGGAATTGTGGCAGATCAACTTCTCCAAGGTATGCCTAAGTTCAAGCAACCCCTTAGCAGACGAAGTAGACAAATCACACCCACGCAGCTCCAAAACCTTAAGCCTCGCAAACGGAAGAAGAGAGAGCGGCGTGGGATCACGAGCCGGCGAAGGAAGCGACGAAACGACTTTGAGAGAAGGGATCAAGCGGAGGATACGTCGTAGCTGCTCCAAGGCGCGGTAATCTCCGATATCGGAGACGTAGGCGCGGAGATAGTCAACGGGAGCTCCGGAGAGCATACGCTCGAGTTCGCGGAGAGATTCGAGACGGAGGTGGACGTAGTGAAGCCCCGCGGGGTTGAGTTTGAGGACATCGGTGGCTGCGTCGATGAGCGAATCGGCGTTTTCTTCGAGGAAGGTCTGGAGATTCTCGAGGTATCGATCTCCCGTTACGATCGCCATGATGAGGAGAATTAGGGATTTCAGATTTGAGTCGTTGCGAGGTGTTCTCTAGAGAGAGAAAGAGGAGAGAGAGGGGAATAGAGAAACTGCCATGGCTGATTGATTGGAGAAAAAATTGGCGAATAGGAAACAACAGCTAAAGGATGATGATTCTCTCTCTCTCTCTCTCTTTCTCTCTGAATCTCTAAACAACAACCTGGGGACGAGACTGAGATTAACACCTGGCAACTATGCGTTAATCAAATCATTTCAATTACTTAGCTACTAATCATTGATAATGTAAAATATTTCCCACCTCATCCAGCTGAAATATTCCACATTTAAAATTCAAATTTCGTACGTTTAGTTTTCTTTTTCTATATTTATTTATTTATTTATTTTGAAGAAACAACTAAACAAGGCTCTCAGATCACGATTCATAATCGATTAAATATTTGTTTCCCAAATAATGAGATCTGATTCCATTCAGTAAAATATTAGAATGAAAGCGCCTATAGGTTCATTGATTGGCTTTGTAACATCTGAACTGGTTTCTTTATCAAAAAAAAGAAAAAAAAACATTTGAACTGGTTTGGCTGTTTTAGAAGAAAACAAAAGCAAACGTCTTAAACTTTGATGAAGTATCATTAAACAAAACAAAAAAACTAGAAAAGTACAATGAAAGAGTCAACGACATTGCTGGCTTTGCAGTAAAGATCCCATATCGACAGTGGAATATTCAGAATTTAGTAGTAGAGTAAAAGAAATTAACATACATAATTAGAGTTCATTAGTCTTCCCAAGACAAAGTATATATATAAGCAAAGAAACACTAGTAAACCGCAATTTTTTAACTTCAAGCAAATGATTTTTTTTTTTAATTTAGTAATACAAAGATTCAACACAAAGTTTTGCTGATGGCTTCTAGTTCGACCTTTCTTCCCATCACAGAAGAAGAAAAAACTACGAAAACCTATCACAATTTCATGACCTTTTCTTATTATTTCGATGTGACAAAAGAATGTTGGCTTGATTTGATCAAAGAAAGCTTATCTTCGGACAGACTTTGGCTTGATCCTCTTATAAGCCATGAAAGTGACAGCCGCTGAGAGAGAGTACCTGTTCAATCATTACACACAAAGCACAATCTCTCTCATTAAACCATAGCGCCAATTTAAAACCAGATAATGCCAAGAAAAACTTTTGTAGCTGTATATAGTTACCATGTTATACAGTAGTTGAGATGGTCCTGTGGCATGACTTTACTACGGATCAAAGTGTTGATGTCTTTCGGGACAGGATACGGTCTACTCCGATCTATGTCCTCATGAACGTCCTCTACGTAAATTGTGTCTTCAGGAAGACCTATGGCACGAGCCATTGCAGGAACGTCTACGTAGAACCACTGCCCTGTACTTGGATCATTGGCTGGAACAAATATGCTCGGGTTCTCTCCTCCCCTTATCACACCAACAACTTCTACAGGCTTAACCGCAGAAACATGCTCATCCTGCAAGATTTCAGTTTTCACAAGTCATAACGTGTGTAACAGATTTGATAGCTAAACTCAATATGTGAATGAAAGAAGTTTCTGAATAAGAGGGGATAGTAACATGACTAACCTTAGGAATCACTGGCGTCTTAGACCAAAATTTCCACCAGGAATTGTGTTCACTGGGGAGTGATTTAGCTGTTGGTGACTCATTTGTAACGGAGTCAGACTCTGTAGATTCTTGTGACTTGTCTCTCCAACTACGAGGAACCCATCCGCGATTCACCAGAATAGGCGACTGCATGCTAGTTGACAAGGGACAAGAACAATCCAACTTCAGGAAACGCCAAAAAAGTTGACAGCTAGAACTATAACTAGCAATCAAAGCTTAAGTGACAATTCAGCAAAGAGAAATAACTCTAATATATCTAGCTAAATCTCAAACTCACAATTAGTTAGATGCAGTAACAGCTATCGACCAAATGATGATCTTAGTATTTCATTCTTAAACAAGTACTATATCCTAAAACGTACAATACTTCGATAATTTCACAACCAACAGAGAATACAGAAATATAAGGCCCTTATTTTACTTCAACACGGTTGACAAGAAAATGTCGATATGTTCAATAGTATAGGCAAAGGGTTACAGAAAGAACGTAAAAGAGAGGAGAAAGGATCATTACCCTCACCTATCTAGGTCACCAGGGATTGGCAATAAAGGTGTGATGACATAGTATCCATTTTCAGTGACTCCAGATATGGACCTAGACCGTGGACCCAAATAGATAGACTTTTGCTCGTCAAACACGCCTTTGCAACTAACCCGTCTAAACTCCAAGTCCTCAAGATTCTTATCAGGAGGATGGTCTGCGTTTAGCTTCATTGGTTCCATTTTCAACCGTTGTTGTTGGTACTCCAGTGTTTTGATCTGCGTTAACAAAGGAGTGAATCAAGCTTTAGGTTCTACTCAGAAAAAAACACCAAAAAAATGTAAAATAAGCTTCAGCAACCATTACAAGATAAAAAAAGGAAAAAAACAAATGCAACCAACACCGAGAATGCATTATTAGGAATCAAGCATTCAGAGTCTACAAGAGTACCATTAGATCACTTTACATGAAAGACTTACTAAGAGCCAAACATCAACGAAATACACAAACTCTCGCTATAATCTGAAGCTTTGTTCTAAAATAAATAAATCTACATGCCAAAAGCACAAAAATTTATTGGTTATACATAGATCAGTGTGTGATAAAATCAGAATTTCGACAAGAGAGTGTACAGGATCTCACTACTTTCCCCAATTACAAAACCACAAGTGTTAGTCTAAATCTCTTCAATTGCAAATCACTAATATATAAAGATGGACTCTTTACTGATTCAAAAGAGCTGAAGAAGAAGAGAAACATACCTTTTCCTCCCTTCTGACGATTTGCCATGACCCGAGACCGAAGGTAATCGCTCCAGGCAAGAACAACAGCAGTTGTGTCCATTTCGACCCTCGTTTCTTATCTGAAACTTAAAAAACAAAACGGTTCTTAATATCTCTAGATTCCAAGCATTGGAAGACATAGTTGGCTGACTAACATACCTTGCGGTGGAGCTGGGGAAGCTGTTTGGCTTCCAAGCGCGGCGGTGGTAGAGAAGGAAGAGTCGGCGACGGCGGAGAACTGTCTCTGAAGGGAATGAGAGGTAGAGTAGATTTGGCTGTGAGCTTTGGATCTGGTTAGGAGTTTGGATAAAGATGTGGCCATCTTCTTCTTCGTCTCTCGTCGTCAAGATTTTTGATCGCCGGAGAAGTAAGTAAAAGGGTTTATGCCTCCACGACGACTTGTCTGCTACAGCGGAAAATGAAAATGGCTTTACAGATTTGAAGAGTTTAGATCCCCTGTTTAAGGGTGCATCTATGTTCCGGTGCTCACCACATTTTGTGCTTCATAGATAACTAGATTTTGATCCGCGCTTTAAAGCGCAGAAATTTTTTATGAGTAGAAATTTAAATAATTGGGTTTTGTCTTAGTTTAAAGAATATTTTGATATAAAATCAATTCACCAAAATTTGTGGTGATGATTATTTTTCATTAATTTTTAGTTTTAGTTTTTATTTTTAGATTTTGGTTTTTAAGTTTCTACTTTTCATTTACAGTTTTTGGTTTGGGTTTTTAATTTTTAAACCCGCTGAGTTAGTTTGAACTAATATTACCAACAAACAAATCTCAAATAATCGAACATCTAATTCAAAACTGAAAAGATGACAACAAATTTTTTTTAAAAAAAATTGAAATAGTTTATTTTGTAAATAAACAAAAAAAATATATAACATGTGTTTTTAGCTTTTTGTTTTGGATTTTAGTTTTTAGATTTAGTTTTTAGTTTTGCTTTACATTTTTTTAATCAGTAAATTATTTAAGAAAAATAAAACAATAAATTATTTAAAAGTTACCATTGAAATTTATCAAAACAAAGTGATTGTTATTTAAAATAAAAAAATATATTAACTTGTTTTAAAGTACATGATTTAAATAAATGATTAATAATAGATAATATTGTTTTGTTAAAAATATTAAATACCTTTTGAGTCTGAAAATAATAATTGATTTTTTGATCTTTTAAGGTGAAAAGTTTATTCAATGTTTTTAGAGTTTTTTTCTTAATACTAAGCCCAAAAACCAAACTATATAATTTGTTCAAAAAATAAAAGTAAGCCCAAGACTATATTTCATAAATAACCACTGGTTTAATTTAAGTATAATTAGTAGATTTCCATATTCCATATTTTGATGATATATATTATTTTAGAACATTCCATATTTGTAGGAGAAAATATGTGTTTTCGGTATACACATAGATACCTGCCATATTTTGAAAATAGTTTACATTAAGATCGTCTCTTTACATTAATTGTGTTGGTTTAATGTAAGTAATACGGTTCAATCAAATATATGATTTATATTATTTGTAACATTCTAGTAAGGGTCCAAATTTAAATGACAACTTGTATAAGTAGATAAAAAGAATGACTCTATTTTAATAGAGTAGACTAGATTTTGACCCGCGCTTGAAAGCGCGAACATTTTTTATGATTAAAAATTTATATAGTTGGATTTTGTCTTAATTTAAAGAATATTTTGATATAAAATCAGATCACCAAAATTTGTGGTGATGATTGTTTTTCATTAGTTTTTAGTTTCAGTTTTTTATTTTAGATTTTGATTTTTGGTTTTTAGTTTTTAAGTTTCTACTTTTCATTTTCAGTTTTTGGTTTGGATTTTTAATTTTTAAACCCGCTGAGTTAGTTTGAACTAATATTACCAACAAACAAATCTCAAATAATCGAACATCTAATTTAAAACTGAAAAGATGATAGCAAATTTAAAAAATAAATTTGAAATAGTTTATTTTATAAATAAACAAAGCAAAAAAATATAACATGTGTTTTCAGTTTTTGGTTTTGGATTTTAGTTTTTAGATTTGGTTTTTGGTTTTGCTTTACATTTTTTAATCAGTAAATTATTTAAGAAAAATAAAACAATAAATTATTTAAAAGTTTTTGACCAAAAAAAAAAAATTATTTAAAAGTTACAATTGAAATTTATCAAAACAAAGTGATTCTTATTTAAAATAAAAATATATATTAACATTTTTTAAAGTACATGATTTAAATAAATGATTAATAATAGATAATTTTTTTTGTTAAAAATATTAAATACCTTTTGGGTCTGAAAATAATAATTGATTTTTTGTTCTTTTAAGGTGAAAAGTTTTTCAATGTTTTGGAATTTTTTTTCTAATACTAAGCCCAAAAACCAAACTATATAATTTGTTCAAAAAATAAAAGTAAGCCCTAGAATATATTCCATAAATAATCATTGGTTTAATTTAAGTATAATTAGTAGATTTACATATTCCATATTTTGATGATATATATTCTTTTAGAACATTCCATATTTGTAGGAGAAAATATGTGTTTTCGGTATACATATAGATACCTGCCATATTTTAAGGGTAGTTTACATTAAGGTCGTATCTTTACATTAATTGTGTTGGTTTAATTTAAGGAATACAGTTCAATCAATTATATGACTTATATTATTTGTAACATTTTTAAAATGGTCCAAATTTAAATGACAACTTGTATCAGTAGATAAAAAGAATGACTCTATTTTAATAGAGTAGATGTTGTCTTTTAAATTTCATGTGCAATTTTTTTCCTAATATCTTTGTGATATGAATATGATTATGTAAAATACACTATTTTATTTCAATAATGCAAAATATAAAATAAGTAGAATTTGAGGTTGATTATAAGAAAGCAATCAGAATATAAATTACAAAAAAATTATTGAGATATAGGCTATTGAGATGAACATAGACCTGTGAACATAGACGAATCTAGGCCATTAATCTAGTGGTTGCACCAGTACTGATTAAATAGGAAAAAGGCAGTAGAAAGAACTGAACCTTGGTTGAATTGGGTGCACAACATAACATTTCCACTTTATCCAACAGACTTTAACTAGGAAAAAGGCAGTAGAAAGAACTGAACCTTGGTTGAATTGGGTGCACAACATAACATTTCCACTTTATCCAACAGACTTTAACTATTTTTCTCATGAAATTTGAAATATAGATAATTTTTATGGGTGCCCAGGCCCTATAGTACACAACCTGGTGTCGCCCCTGCCTGTGAAGCAAAGACTGCTCAGTGTTTGATGACTCTATTGTGCTCTTAAGACAGGCAAAAATGTGGTATTGTGTAAGGCTAGAAAATCCCTGAGGAAATGCTTGCCGTTGCGTTTACCTTCAGTGACTGCTTTGAAATGTATTATGTATGTACCTACGACCTGTCACACACACATTTGGTGTTTCAGCCATTATGCAGGAGCATCTAACACTTCCTCAACTAACCACACCTACTAATTAGTATTAGATCGCGTAGAAATTGACCACAACTATTTGCTAGACTTCTACTAAGTCTACTTATGAAGAACAAAGCAAAGGAGTCTTATACTCTTTAGCTCTTAGAACATCTTATCAAAGGTTTAGATGAGGTTCACACGTTTTTCAATAAAAAAAAAATTAAAATAATGAATAGTGATGAACCTGTCTCTTGCAGGTTATCTGCAGTGAATCCGGTTCATCACTATAGCGTGAATCCCACGACACGTAACGGCTTACGATTGGTCTATTTTTTAAAAAAAAAAAAATCATAAAAAAATGAAAAATTGAATCCTAAATAGAGGTTCACTTATGGAGAGCTCTTGGTTAATTTTTTTTTTTCCTTTTTTGGGCAAAGCTCTTAGTTAATCAATGGTTCTTATTAACCCCTTTTGATTTGGGTCAAACAATCATTCTTACCAACCCAACACTCAATACAAAAATTTGAAAAGCCCAAAAAGAACAAATAAAATCCATTAAACTATCAGGCATACAACTAGGGCTTTCAAGATGTGGCCGTCACTGTATAAATACCATGACTCCACCTACGTTATCATTACAATGTAGTTAGTGCGATCGACTCTACCAGTCTCTGTATGTGTCTTGTGTGTGTATGAATCTAAGTTGTGTTTTTGTATAGTTGAGTGTTTTTTAAAAAAAAAGGCAGCACGTCACTGATGCGCTTGACAAAATAGTGCTTTCGGTCCTTTTAGCTGCCAAAATCGACACAGAGCACTAATGCTTTCGTCTGCCGTTTTCCATCGGCTTATGAACTCAGTTGCTCTAACATTTATCATCTTCCTCAACTCAAAATCTATTTTTCCTCCGTGTTTCATAATGTTCAACAGCAGGGAAAAAAACATACCGGAAAGATAAAAACGAAAATCTCAAAAGTAGCTAAAAATATCTATTCTGAACCCAGTACTCTAATTCAATCCATGTTTTTAATTAGTGCCAGATTTTTTGAAAAAAGGACCTAACAGCAAATTAATCATGTCATCTGATGTTGGATCTCTTGTTCCATTTGTTTCTCCTTGAGATGATATCATATTTGATCCAGATGTTGACAAGCTTGTCTGAATCTCTCTTGCCTTGTCTACTTCACGTTTGATATACTGTAAAAAATTCAGATGAACAATGGAGATTATTATGCATCAAATTCACAAAAAATCACTAATTCACCAAACTGTTAACAATTTATAACTGAAAATTACCTCTTGAGCAAAGCTTAATAAATCATCAACTGTGAAATCCTCCTCATCTGCTTCTGGACAGGTTAAGGATTGAATAATCTTGGGACTCTTACCATCATCGTCAATTTTAGGCTTAACCTCTTCTTCTTTGATTTTCCTACGAACTCCTCTTTTCCTGATCTCCACCTTTTTGTGTTCCTCTGAGTCATCTCTTTCTTCACGAGTTTTACGCTTCTTCTTGGTCTTTGGATGTTCTTCTGCTTCATCTTTTATTTTGACCACCGCACTTTTGTTGTCTGTTATATTGCTTGTAGCTCCTACACTGGATGACGCGCCGGTGAGCATCCACGGCGGTAACCGCCTCATATTCCCATCCATCGAATTTGACCTTCTCCATTCTTGAAACCCGGAAGAAAACAAGCAGAAGGTTCATTTATTGGGCCTAAAGTTGAGCCCACTTATCTAATTAAAGCCCATTCGCTCATCACTGGTGACCTAAAAGAAAAACAGCCACTGTTCATATGTTTATTTCCTAAAATTTCGGTAGATATTCAATCATGTGGTTCAGTTCTTATGTCGGTTGTATAACAGACAGTCAGTTAGAAAAAACATACAAAATTTCATCCATTTTTTGGCCTTGAACCAATAGGTCCAATACACAGCCATGTGAGCTTTACGGAGATTGAAACTTGATTATTATGATTTTGGCAAAAAAAAAAGACTTCATTAAATTTAACTGTTCATCATTCCAATGTCTCTATAGTCTTAATACTCTGTCACCAGTCACCCCTTACTATACATAGCCTGTCACCAATCACCACCAGTCACTTCATCTGTACATAGTTGTCGCTCAAGACAGGAAACTATGAACATGTCTCAAGACAGGAAACTATGTAATAAATAACTTTACAAAACAAAACAAAAAAGAAAAACCAAAGATGAAGTTTCAAATTTGTGACGCATAACATAACCCTGAACCAACACAGTGCCAATGGAACACAAAGGAAAAAACAAATGTAACGGTTACAAATGCTATTAAAATTAACAACACCGTGCCAATAGAAGACAAAGGAAAAAAAAAAACAAATGTAACAAGTTACAAATACAATTAAAACTATGGGACAACAGTTTTGTTGCTAAGATACACCATCAGCTCTTAATCCATTAGAGAGCTGCAATAGGAGAAGGTAGAAACAAGCCATCCCATTACTTAGAAGAACAGTGCTGTGCAATCTTCTTCTCAAGCGAGCCTTTATCAGCTCCCACAACTTTGTCTACCTGTTTCCCATCTCTGATGAAGCAAAAGGTTGGGACGCTGCTTATGTTCCAAGCAGCAGCCACGTCATTGGCCTGATCTATGTCAACTTTCAAGAAGACTACTCTCGGGTGTTGCGTGGCCAGGGTTGTGTACAGAGGAGACATGTAACGGCACGGTCCACACCATGTTGCTGTGAAGTACATGATTAGAAGACGTGATGCCTTCTTTGCAGCCTTTGTCTTCGCTTCTAGCTCGCTGGTTGAGTGGATGCTAATCACTTGTCCTGCATCATTAAGGAAGAAACAAAAATTGGCATCTTTTTGACTTCTGTAAATTTATTTTTGGCTTTATATCAGCTTCAAATCAAGATCTGTGAGGATAACTGAAATTCAAGATAAATGCAAATTGCTTTTCACACTGTGTATATAATGAGACTCATACTTGTGAACAACATATGAAATCGTAAGGAACTAGCGGTATCCAATACAAACAGAACTCTACACAAGAAGTTCCCCAAAATTTGCTTTTTTTTTTGGAGGTTATGGTTCTGGTCTGGATTTAAATGATTTATCAGGGAAACAATGCACATGAAACTGGAGAAATGGGATAAGCAATCTTAAGCAAGTTGGTCAGTGGCCTAATTATCTGGAATTAGTGACTAACAAGAGCCTATTTGCTTTGATCATACTGAGTGCAAACTATTTCGCCAGGACAAGACTCAAAGATAAATGTTCTGACACATACTAGTTCATTTACAATAAGATTATGAAGTAGAGAATTGTTGATAGAAATGGATAGAATGTTTACCGTCTTTAAGTGCAGACAGAGCTTCTCGCTCCTGCATTGATGGGAATCAAGAATAAGCAGAAGAAAATCAGCGAGCGTGAGATGATTGATATGACATAAGTGGATAAAGAAGATACCAAGGCTGATGTGCTTTTTGTTTTTTGCGAACAATGTAAATTGTCAAAGAGAGCAGCTACACACAGCAGCATTATGCAAGAATCACAAATCATGGTTATTGTTTAAGTGGGTCTGACCTGGGCTTCTTGCTGTTCTCTTCTCTCGCGTTCAGCCCTTCGGAGTTCCTTTTCTTTCCTCAGACGTTGATATTTTCTCCGGTGTTCTTCGATTCTCTTTGCATTGGGTTCAACCTGTGAAGCATAAACATTAACAGCATATTATTGGTACAGTAAAACTTAAGATTTACTTAACTTAATGAGGCTATGAACAAAGGTAAGAGAGGTTTCCTTTCCACAGTTACCTTCTTAAGTGCCGACCCAATCTCCTCATCGTAATCTAATTTTGAAGCTACATGAAGATCAGCTGCAGCTTCTTCCCATTGGCCTAACATGGCTCTAGCCATACCTCTTGCCTTGTACCCCTTAGCTGAATCAGGGTTGAACTAAACACCAAAGTAAACTGGTTCAGCTAGTTATGGAAGAAAACTATAAGACTATTGAAACATAAACTTGCTTTTCGAATTCATCTTCTGCACAAACTAGAGAAAGTCTAAGCGACTCAAGTAAATGCTCACCTGTAAAGCCATATCCGCATCACGGATTGCAGCATTTGGCTTCTTGACTGTTAGAAACACAGTAGCTGAGGAGGAACAAAAACTACAAACATTCAGAAATATTACCCACCATTGGTCGAAAAGGGAGATAAATAGAGTACAAGAAAGACACCTCTAGTAGCGTAGAGAATTGCTGAAGTGGGGTTTAACATGATGGCTTTAGTGAGATATTCTATAGCTTCATCAAACTTTCCTGGAAACCAATAAAGCATTAACGAAAGTCTATGGATCCAAAAAAAAAGAAGAGATAAGAAGTATTAGTACCTTGAGAGATTGCATCCATAGCTTTGCTCTTCTCAGACTGAGCAGCATCCCTATCTTCATCCGTCACTTCAGCTGTAGCATCTCCCATCTAATGAAATAAAGAAAAATCAAACAACCGTGGCATAGAGACATGACAAGCACCAGTTAAGTAACATTCAAAGATGAAATCTTTCACCACCTACCTGCTGAGGAGGCTCATTATCTGGTTCAACAACATCAGAATCATCCAACTCAACATCAGACTCGGTGATTTCATCATCATCATGATTAGGAGAGAAACTGGGTTTAGTCTCAGCCGTATCTTCATAATCTCTTTCCTACCATCATTCATAGAAAAGAACCAATAATCAAAACCACATAATAGATAGTAAGCCAAGAAATCTGAAAATTTCTATCAATGCTCGAAAAAACATAACATCAGATTCTGTAAAGAAAAAAACAACCTAAAAAAACAAACATAAGAGTTGCATAAAACAAGACAACTTACAGTTTTGACTATCTTAGGAACTTGAGCTCCTAAACTGCACAAGAGAGATAAAAAGACCAAAACATCGATCATAAAATCTCCACATCAGCACACAAATAAAAAGTCAACGCACGAGTCCTTAAAGTCAGCGGAAGAATAAAAAAACCTTCGGAGATAATCTTTGAAGAAAGTGAGAGAAGGATCGTGGAGGAGAGAAGGATTCAGTTTCAGCTGTTCGACGAATCTTCGGAGCTCTGCTACTTGATTCGCATCCATCATTTTTTTTTGTTCGTCTCCTTTCTCTCGAACGAAACAGCTTGGCGCAGTGATGAGAATGTTTAGCTGCTTACGGTGGCTATCAGCAGAAGAGCAGTGATTTGATGTGCCTCAAGCCTATCGTGTCGGTTGATTCTGTTGTGTTTGTTCAGCAAACCCGAACCGACCGTATAATCGTGGCTATGTACCGGGTCCAACCGGTTTTATATTTTTCTGTTTCAGATTAACATCTTTGGTTCGATTTTTGTGCTTCTAAATATAATTTTCTCTAAATTAATAAAATCTTATCATCAATTGATTTATAAAGGTTTAAGTGTGTGTAGATTTTTCATGTATTGGCTTTTGCTTAGGCATGGGCATCCGGGTCCTCGGGTCGGGTTCGAGTCGGTTCCTATCGGGTCTTGGAAATTTAGATCCATATAGGTACCTATGATTTTTCGGGTCGGTTCCGGGTCGGGTCTTGCCGAGTCGGGGTTGGTTCAGGTCTATAATTTCAATATCTGTAAAATACCCGTAATTTTCGGATCCATATCGGGTCCGGATATTTAGAATCTAAAAAATACATAAAATGCCCAAACTCACTCAAATTTAGTCAATATTTTTTCATATATATCTAAAATTTTATAAAATAACTTAAATTAAACTATTAATAACTAAAGATTTTCTTTTTACATTTTAAAACTTTATATTACTGTAAAATGTTACAAATAATAATAAATATTGTTAACAAAAGATATTTCAACTAAATTATAAAATAGTATAGACATTTAAAGCATAACACAAAATAATAGTTTTGGATATACATGTTTATAAGTCGGGTACAAATCAGTTCTTATCGGGTCGGGTCTATTCGGGTCGGTTCTTTTTGGGTACGGGTCTATTCGGGTAAAAGAAATTTAGATCCAATAGGTACTTGTAAATTTTTGGGTCGGGTTCGGATCGGATATTTTCGGGTCTGTTCCGGTTCGAGGTCTTCGGGTCCGGGTAAAATGCCCAGACCTACTTTTGTTTGTTGGTAACTACTATGCAAATCTCTCCAGCCTTGAAGCAAGTTTACTGCTGGACATAATATTAAATTTCACAATTTTGTGGAAATATTCATGAAAATGCATCCAAGGAAGGAATATACATATAATTACATCGTTTGATATGAACAAACTGGCATGTGCATTCAACACTAACATCTCTGGTATTAGAGAAGAAACGAACATTTTCTACAAATTTCCAAAAGTACATATTCAGTTTGCTCTCATAGTTCCAGTAGACCAAAACCACATAACTGAAGTATACACTATACTACAGTATAAGCTACAAAAGAAACTCAGTAGCGAAAAGAAAAAGATACACTATAGTATATTAGCTAAGAAGAAACTCAAGTGTAGGTAAAAAGGAAAATTCTATAACAGAAGAAAAAATAAACTGAAAACTTGAAAAAAATCACCATCGAAATAAAAACATGGTCCAATAGTACTTCAAGACTAGGTTGCAGAGCTGAATGAAGAACTTATGCATTCAGATATTGGCGTACGACAATCTGTTGATGACTTCTTGTCCAAGCAATACGGCGATACACTTGTGACCCTGCAAAACCAACAGTGAAAAAGAGTTAGGTCAAGAAACCGTTTAACTGGTTTTATTCTGTAAAGAACGGTTGTGTGTACCTTTCTTTGCGTTTCTCTAAGAACCTAGCCAAAGATGCTTTGCGAGCCTGAGGTAAAGCCACTACATATGAAACATAACAAGATTGAAGCTTACAACCACACAAAAAAATAGCAGTAAGCTAAGCCAATTTAGTATGAGGTATGAGACTTTATTTTTTACCTGTTTGAGGCTTTGCAGTTTGGTTGTTGTGGTATGTTGATGTAAAGCCTGTTGTTGATTTTACTGTTCCGAGTCCATATGTGCTACTTCCACCTTCATGGCTAAGATAAGAGGCTGTAGGCATGAAGCTAGGAGGCATAGCTGAAGAATCAACAGAGGCACGTGCGTGATGGACGACTTGTTGATGAGTTTGAGGTGGTGAGAAGGCTTGAGGCATAGAGGAACCGTTTCCAGCTAGCAACATTATCGCCTTGGCCTGTGATGGAGGAATGATATTATTAAGCAAATGAGTAACCTAAATTTTGCAAGGAAAAAGAGACGCGGAGAAAGTGATTGAGATACCTTGTCAGGAGATATGTCATCATAAACACAAACTGAACCGGCATAAAAGATGGTCAACTGAGCAGGTGATCCTAATGGCTTGGAAGAAGATCTGGCAAAAGAATAAGTTTCTGAGTCAGCACTACAATACATGATAATGATGACTAACCCAAAAAAAAAGATAGAAGCAGTGGGTACCTAATATCAGTTGTCCCTACAATGGAACCTGGAGCAGGAAGGACTGAGATTGGAGGTGCCATGATAGGAACTCCAACAAAGGGTTGCGAGTTTATGCCATTGCTCATGAAGCTTTTTCCTCCTGTTACATAATGGGACTGGAGACCCGGCCTGGCCATGGAAACTGGGATAGCTTCTTGATGTTGATTGGAATTAGGAAACATCCTTGCTCCCTGAAAGTAACAAGTCAATGAGAAGCTTAGCTTAAAATACAAATGAATCACAATATAACCAAGACTAGATTTAGAAACTAGTTGTCATAAATTGAAAATAAGTATTCATCAATGTGGTACCACAGTAGGTAAAAGGTAGCATGCGTCCATAATGCATAATAAACCTGATAATTGGGTTATCATAAGTCTTGATGACAAGTACCTGTACAGAACTGTAAGGAGTGTTCCGGTTGGAATCATATACATCTGCTGTTACTGATGATGGCATGAAGGAACCAGAGTATGGCAGATGATAGTTTCCAGGCTTTCTATGTTTGTCTTCTTGAGATGGCCTGAAAGATAGAAACTGAGAAGAAGCAGCAGAGCCTTTCTTTGAGAATGACCAATTCATTCCTCTATTTGGAGCTGCAAAAGGAAACAAACTAATTTCATCAGTTTTAATCTCAGACATGGAGTGGTAACTGTAAACTTTAAATGTCTTCAGATCTTACATAACCAACAGACAATTAATTCAACACCAAACCCCAAAAGAAAAGACCAAGTAAAAGAATATGATACTACTGTTTACAAATTCAACAAGGCATCAAAACCACCTTAGAAACCATGTCTAATTTAAAAAACATTTATTCAAGTCATTGTACGAAAACTAGTATAGTTTAATGATTATTTTAGTTTAAATTTAAAGATAGATTCAAACTTTAACTCCACACAGCACATGTTGATGCACTACTTTTATGGAATAGCACGTTTTTGGGTGTATAAGAAAACAAAGTGGACACAATATTTATTCCTCGTGGTGAGAAAACTATTCATTCTCATTGTACCTTCAATTAGTATTTTAATATACCGTAAACGCCACTTTCACTTAATCAACACACTAATCAATATTTAATCATCGTATAAAACTATAAACTAATCCAACTCGAACTTTCTTTGTATAATTAAATCTTCTACACCTCTATTTTATTTTATTTTTTTTGTTCCCGTTTCTAATTCAACCACTCTTTCCCAACATTTTACGTATTCGTTTTTAAAAAGAAACTAATTAATTAATTAATTCCAACTTTTATCTCAATTATTAGTCTCTCCAAGAAAACAAAAACAAGCTTGAGATTTGTTCTGGTTCTAAAAACATGTATTTAAGCCGGTTATCTATTGACCAAAAAAACGGTTATCTAAAAAGAATACACTAATTTCCTAAAACCAAGAGGTCACCAGTTCGATTCTCGGGGAAAGCGAATGGAAGTGTTCTCCTCCAAGAGACAGACTAACAATCCAGTTCCCGACCAAACCATAAAACCTGGTTTTGCAAAAATAAAATCTCAACCTAGTTCTAACTCCTAACGCCATAAAACTGATCAAGGAATCACAATATTATCGATGAGATTAAAAATAAATCAAGAGAAAAAAAATATTAACCTGAATCTCTGGAGCTTTCGCTTGTTTCCTCCTTCACAGTAATCGGAGAATTTTTCGAACCCATCCCCAGAAAATCTCTCTCCATCTTATACAAAGCCAGAGAATTCGATCTAAACGCTGGAACCCAACAAATATCTACCTGAAAAAAACGATCAAAGCGTCGCGGGAAAAGGGAACAAAGGAGAGGATTTTCTCTCTTTGTAAGCTGGAAACAAAAAAATGAAAAAACGTGTTAACAACACAAACCGCGTTTTCTCTTTTTAACCATAGCGCATGAGAGACATGTGAACAGCACTATTAAATAATTTTGGATCTTTTTATTTTTAAATAATTAAAGTAAAATATAAACTAAAGGTAAAAGATTCCTTTTTCTCCTCTGGTATTGGCGGAAAAGGCAGCTGCAGGTATGTCCGGTTAAGACACTGGCTATAGACGGTCAAATAGCACGTGCATCGTCGTGCAGTGCGATTTATGCGTGTGGCGTTTCTTTTGACGGTCGACACGTGGTTAGGCACGTGCATTATTTTATTTACGCGCGTCACTAGCTGCCAGTCAATTTTTTAACGTGAATGATTCACGAGATGTGAAGCGGCAGTTTTAAATATTTTTTTTGTGTCATTGCAGTTTCACTTAATTTTACTTTTTATTATTTTATTTCAAACAAGCGAAACTGTGGGCTCACGCGCGATAAGCACCACGTGAGTTGTAAACTCGGAATTTCCTAACCTAACTTCTTTTTTTTTTTGTCAACTTCTTTTTAATAAACAGTTTAATTAATATTAGCACTTTCGTGCACGTTCTCTCTTGACCGAGAAAAAACATTTGCATGTTAGATTTTATTTTTAGATTTTATTTTGAAAACCAAAAAAAAAACTATTTGTCGTCTGTATTTTATATTGTATAGTTAGTACAAATAGTTTAATACCCCATGTGATTATGTCACTACTCAAATAGTATATCACTTTAAAACCATTAATTTTGTCAGTGTACTTCAATGATATAAATCTTATATATTCTTCTGCGATTAATTAATAATATATAGTTTGCTTAAACTATATATGTATTAATGTAATTACTGGAAGCAAACGAAAAAGGTTTTTTTAATGTAAATAACACTGAAATGATTCGTTGACATCGTGTTGTTGAGTAGTTTATGGATGCATGTGGTGGTCCTGGTGAGGAATTTACGCCATTTCCTGCGTCACTTTCTTGTTAATTTAGTAAAGATTATAACGTTTTGAAATGTTATATACAGTAAGAAGCTTTATAAAAATGGAAAGTGGAAAGCAGGTCAAGCACACAACAGCTCACCTATCTCTCTCTCTCACGATAACATCGTTCTGGGGAAATGTCGCACACGTTGTTTTCTCCAGCCTTTAATTATCTATATCGATATCAAAATAAAAATATATTCATTTGAAATGAAAGCACCACGATGCAAGTTCTGTACAACACAACATTCCATACAGATAATAGGATCAGATCAAAAGTGGACCTACGGAGAAGACGATATCAAAAGATGCCATAGGCGTATCTTTCACGCTGTGCTCCACATTGAACATCAAACGATAGGGAGATGCTCGATTTGGTCGATCTTAACCCTGATATGGTAACTTTCCTTAGCTTTCTAGCTTGGCAAGTTTCTTAAATTAGTAAACTCACATATTGCTAACTATTTCAAAAAATATACCCCAAATTAAAAATACTTGTGTGCCAACTGCAAAATAAATAAAAAAACGTGTTCAAGCCATATTACCAATGCAATCACGGTGGAATATATGTATGCATGCAATCTCTTAGCTTCTCCTACGCCTCCATGGGAACAATTATGGCAATGCCAAAAGGCTAAGGAGCCAATAAAAGGCCACCAGAATTAGCGAACTAAGGTGTGGTAACACACAGCCTTAAACCCTTGAGAAGTAAATTCTGAATGGTAAACGTACAACACAAGTTATCGATAGACCATAGGAAATAGCAATGCTACCAGTAGATCGTATCCAGCTACCTCCTTGCCGTAGTATTCCATGGAGTAAGCCTTAAAAAAATAGCAATGCTACCAGTAGATTCGACCCATCATAGTATAATATAGCCCAGTGGACTTAATCAAATATAGATGCTTAATTAAATGGAAACTGATAAGATAAATGAGTTGGGTTGGAAAATGATTTGTATATGATAATGAAATTTTAGTTTTATAGTATTACTCAAAGTCGAAATCTAAACCAGATTTGGTTGACTTTTTCTGTTAGTAGTCACTAATAATGTCCTTTCGAAGTTAGATCGTGTAAATGACAACTAGTTCTTAATCTTGTTTGAATTAGTATAATCGAAAAATGGTATTCAAAAACAAGCTCTTCTCCTCATCAAAGACATCCGGATCTCCGAGCCACGATAGTTCAAGTAGTCCCATTTCTGTTGGCTCCAAATCTCCGATAGGATCAGACACAAATAAGTCTGAAACTGCTTCAAATGATGAAACCCTTGTCCCTAACCCGATCTCCGCTGTTGGTTTTGTCGGTATGTCCCTCGTATATACAAATAACATCTTGAATTGGTTTTGATGGGGAATACGATGTTACTGTCTAAATTAATCAGTTAAATTTAATTCCATTAAGACAACGCATTAATGCGATGATGAAGACTTATGTTCGTTCCTGTTGTGAGCATGTTCGCTAGTAAATAGAAATGCTAATGTTGAGGATGAGCATGCGTGTTGTTAATAACTATCTAGAGCTTATCACATGTTGATTCTTATTTCACAAGTTTTCTTATGATTGTACTTCGCAGGCCGCTTCAAGGTGTCATCTGAACGATTTGGCCCACTGAAGAGGTTTCCTGGTGACGTCAAAAGCTTTTCTCATGAGCTGAACTCAAAAGGTGTGAGGCCTTATCCATTGAGGAAGCCTCGTAGGTTCAACAACGTAGAGGTATTCTATCTTTTTTTTTTCTTTTTTTCTTTTTATTATGTCTTTCTCAATCCCCATGTGAGTTTTGTTGTATGCAATTATCTAATTAATACTCTGTCGTCTCCAGGAAGAAATGGCTATAATTCGGGTAAAATTCGATAAAGCGAAGGAAGAAGTAAACTCTGACCTTGCAGTATTTGCGGCGGACCTGGTGGAAGTAATTGAGAAAAATGCAGAAAGTCATCCTGAGTGGGAGGAAAAATTAGAAGACTTGTTAGTTTTGTCTCGAAGTTGTGCTATGACTACTCCTGGAGATTTCTGGCTTCATTGTGAAGGCATAGTTCGAGATTTAGATGATAGACGTCAAGAGCTTCCTCCTGGCGATCTCAAAAAGCTTCATACTCGGATGCTTTTTATACTTACTAGGTGTACGAGGCTGCTTCAGTTTCATAAGAGTTGGGAAGAAGAACGAGTTGAAGAACACAAATGGTTATGAGTGTGTAACAAGTTTCTTCATCTGATTGAGTTTGTGTGTTAGTTTTTATTTGCTGCATGATATATTTTAAGAGATCATTGTATTTGTGATTCAATAAGCAAGTAACACTTTATGTACTTTGTCAAGGTCTCATATTGGAAAAAAAAATGGTGTTAGAGCTTGATACAAGCCTGATACAAGAGTGAAAAAATGAGTATTGGACTATGTTGATGGAAAACCAATGATCATTCGTTCTTAAAGAAATGTGAACCTCACAGGGTGATACTCATGTAAGTCTTCTAAGTGATGAGTCTATTTTCACATTGATGAAGTATACATTTATAATGCATACCATGAGGTCCTATTCCCTTTCCATATATAGCAATTTGTCTATTATCGTACCCTATTAGGATATATTACAGATAACAAATCTAATCCCAGTTTCAAACAATTTCTGAAATCTGAGCCAAGAAAGTGATCATCCTTAAATTCCAAAAAAATGTTGTTTCATACATTCAGGTTAAAAGCCTCTAAAAGAAAGACAAAATAATGCTAGTTAGATGAACAACTAGGCAATAAAATATCTACCTGATAATTACATTTTAGAAAGAAAAAAATATGAAATTTTCATATTTTATTAATGATATTCCAGACCATAATATTTAAATTTTATTCACTTAGTTTTTTTTTGTCACAAAAAGAACATACTAAGTCAAAACTATTAAGATTATACTAAGAAATTTTATGTCTACGTGAACGATATATGCGGTTAAAATCTAGCATTGTGCGAAAGTGTTTACAAATGTTATGTGAAATTGTTTGTCCACTTATTTTGAGTGCAAGTTATATTTGCGATTAGGCCTGGGCAAAAAGCCCGAACCCAAAAACCTGAACAGAACCCAGTCCGATAAAAGCGGTTCGGGTCGGATTCGGATCCTGTGTAAAAACCGATCGGGGCTGTTTTTTTTGGTATATCGGGTGTCGGTTCGGGTTGGTTATAAACCGAAAATCCGATTGGTTACACCCGAGACCCGACCTCATGAAACCCTGAGCCCTCTTTCCCCTTTTCGATACCCAATTGATTTCAATATCTCTCACAGATTCTCACCATCCGAAATCTCTGTAACCTTCCTAAAGCTTTGATCTCCCTAAATATTCTCACCAATTCGTTTCCTTACTCCGAAATTTCTTCAAGCATCACATATTCTCGTATCTCACTCAATATCTTTGTCGATTTGAAACCGAAACCCTAATTGAAAGATCCTATATATATGTATCTTCGACCTAGTCTTCACCATATCAAAGCACAATTAATCAATCAAAGGTACTCAGACTTATTTTGAGTAGTCTCGATGTTTGTCTCATCATTTATTTTACTTTCGGATTTAAATTTTAAAGTAGTCTCGATGCTTTTTTGTTATGAATAGTGATTCTTCTCTATTCTTAGGAGTCTCGATACTTGTCTCTTCATTTTAGTAGTCTTGATTCTTCTCTATCTTTAGCAACCTTATTTCAATCTTATATTGTCTAAGACAATTTCTCTTCATGCGGGTTTGATTTGTTTATGTTTTACTAGAGAGCTTGACTATTAGTTTAGTTTATACAGCATAGTGACATACATTTGATGACAGTGTCTTGATGATACTATTTGTCTTTATGTTTTTCTTTATACAAAACTCGTTTGATATAACTAAAATGTAAATTTTTTTCATCTTATTTTGCAGATGGTTTCCTCATCATCGAGACAAAGACAGACCGGTGAAGACACAACTGATGTTCAAGTGACTTACGAAGGACAAGAGAACCAAAGTACTTAAAGCCGAGGGAAGTCCACTGATGCAAATGCAACAAATAGAGTATCTGCTCAGTCATTGAAGATGAAGAATAATGTTGTGCCAAGGTCTGGTGTGTGGAGCCATTACACCCGAACCAAGGACAGTCGTGACAAGTGTATTTGTCACTATTGTCAGAAGGTGTTCTCATGTGCCACCAAATCGGGAACATCAAACCTCCAGAGGCATTTGACCATCTGCAAAGAATACCAAACATGGTTAACCAGCCAAGGGAAGAATCAAACTCTGATTAATACAGAAGGCAATCTGAAGTGCTCAAAGGTCCCAGAGCCGGTTTTCAGACAAGCCTCCAACGAGCTGATTGTCTTAGCCGAATTGCCTCTTTCTTTTGTTGAAAGTACGGCCTGGAAACATTTCTGCAGAAAGGTAATACTGTAGTACCTCTTACCCTTTTAAGCTTTTCTAATATAAGTTTAACTTAATACAAGTCTAACTTTTCTATTGCAAGGTTAACCTTTACAAGCCACACTCTAGGAGGACTGCGACTCGAGACATTGTTGAGATGTTCGTGCAGAAGAAGGCAGCTTTGAAGAACCTGCTTCGCACAACCAAACAAAGAGTGTCATTAACAACTGACATTTGGGTTTCTCAAGTCACAGGTAATGCTACTCTACTTGTTTATTTTTTTTTACATTTCAAAGGCTTATTCTAACATGTTTTCTTGTTCGCATGGCTAACAGGTGCTAGTTACATGGTGATAACTGCCCACTTCATCGACGCTTCATGGCAGTTGAAGAAGCTCATTATTGGCTTCAAGTACGTGATGGACCACAAAGGTCAGACGATAGCTACTGTCCTCTTGGAATGTTTAGCTGACTGGGGAATTGAGAAGGTATTCTGCATTACGGTAGATAATGCAACAGCAAATACTAGTGCCATTAGGAAATTCCATAGAGAGTTTAGTGAGGTTGCCCCTGATGCATTAGTTTAGATGGTAATTTCTTGCACATGAGGTGCTCTGCTCATATCATCAAATTGATTGCTAAGGATGGGTTGGATGAGGTGGGGGATAATGTCTTAGCAATTAGAAATGCTGTCCAGTATGTACGCTCTTCTACACCTAGGCTGAATGCATTTGACCTTAGAGTTACTAGTGGGAGAATGAGCCGTGGTAGTTTGCCTATAGATGTAAAGACTAGGTGGAACTCTACTTTTCTTATGATGTCTAGGGCTCTTCAGTTCCGTGTGGCGTTTGAAAAGATGGAAGCAGAAGACCGGATGTATAATGCATATTTCCTGGATACAGAAAATGGTGTTAAGAGGTGTGGTCCACCTGGTTATGGAGACTGGAGTGCTGTTGACAAGCTGAAGAGATTTCTGGTCATCTTCTACAACATCACGTTGGTGATCTCTTCCTCATCAAAGGTGAACTCCTACAAGTGCTATGGTGAGATCGTGACGATAGAGAGGAACTTGACTGCACTAGCTAACAGTTTTGATCCTGAGCTGAAGGTGAAAGCAACAGATATGCTTCAGAAGTTTCTGAAGTACTGGGATGGCATGAAGAGTGTCAATAGGATGCCGATATTGGCGACTGTGTTTGATCCTAGGAAGAAGATGCAGTTTGCCAAGCTTTGCTTTGAGAAACTCTATGGGAAGAACAGCTTGGAGTCTAGAGAAATGCTAGACTTTGTTGGTGATTTCTCAAGTCCATGTTCCAAGAATACATCAACCGTTTCAGAGGGTCTACTGGACAGTCTTCTCAGTCAACTCAAACTGAGGCTTCCCTGCCTAGTCAAGATTCTCAAGAACAAGGTGTGGATAGAAGGGAGCTCGTGGTTGAAGATTATGGGTATGAGAGGATGGATTGTGTGTACAAGGATTTGGTTGCTGAGAAGGGAGATGATACAAGAGATGAGCTAGAAGTGTACTTGACGGATCCAGTTGAAACTCCGAAGTTGTTGCTTGGTGTTGAGTTCGACATCCTTTCGTGGTGGAAGGTTCACAAGCTTAAGTATCCTATTCTAGCAGAGGTGGCTCGAGATCTATTTGCCATGCAGGTTTCCTCTATTGCTTCAGAAAGTGTTTTTAGCACAAGTGGTAGGATCTTGGAGCCGTATCGAAGCTGCTTAACTCATTATATGATTGAAGTGCTCATGTGTTCTGAGCAGTGGATGCACGCTGATATCAAGGCAGCTGAACAAGTCCCTACAAACGAACAGATGCTTGCTGATGTGGAACTTCTTGACCTGCTTGAGAAAGGTTTGTGTTCTGTCTTCACTTTATTTTATTTGTTCATGTACTATAATGAATGTTAACTTCGTCTCATTTGGTTTGTGTTGTAGAGTTTCAAGCTCAAAATCTTGATGCTTGATGGTTGGAGCGTGAAGGTTAGAGCATGAAGATTGGCATTTGCACTTTCAAGTTTTAAGTATTTGTTTTTTTCTATTAATAATGTCTCTCATATCTTGAGAGTTTAGTTTTTTTTAATCAGTTTCTTTGATTCATTTTGTTTATGAGAATATGAGTTTCTCTGCTACCTTTTGTTTTTCTTCATATCAATAATATTGATGACTTTGTTTCATTCAAGTTGATGTTCTGTTTAATGGAATGAATCCTTGTTTTAAAAGTTATGTTTTGTTATAAATTGGTTACAAATTAGTATAAATTGAGGACCAAAGAACCGGTAGTACAATTTAAAACCGAACCCGAAAGTATACCGGTTTACACCGGTTTCTTGCTAGCTTACTCACCCCGAACCGAACATTTTAATAAACCAAATGGGACTGATTTCTTGGTATAAAAAAAAACTAAACCCGAATGGACTTAACCGGAACCCGAATGGGACCCCGGTTGCCCAGGCCTATTTGCGATCATGAAAGTGTTGAACTTTTTCCATACATCCTCGAATATCTTTAGCTATGTTGCAAAAGCAGACTATTATGGTTTAAAACCATTTTTACCAATATAGAACATTCTTTCACAAATGTTATGTGAAATTTTACTAGAGTTATCATGCATTCCATCATCTAAATGAGAGTTTCACACTCAAAATGTAGGAGTATGAGAATCGGTCTTGTATTCTTTACTTCTTCAAAACCCTCAAATCTTCAAAAATATTGTAACAACCTTCTATAAAACTTTTTGTTTTCTACGATCTATAAATAAAACACTATCTTCATATTATAGGTGAGTTTTGGTTTTCTTTCTCTCTAATAGACAAATTTGTGTTTCAGTTTGGACTGATGTAATTTAAGTTTACATCCACAATGTTGATTCTATCTCTGCAAATTTCAAGTTATTCCTAGAATTTCTATAGATAATATCAACAATTTTATTATTCCGAACTTTCCAAAATATACGATAAAATATATACAAAATCATGATCATTAATATGAGGTAAAATCCGCCGGAAAAAATAGTTTATA